AAAGGAGGAATAGAAATTTAAATGGAATGAGATAAAGACCAAATGAATCAGGATAAAAAGAGGAATGAAATGGAAAGGGAAGATGGAAAGGAGAAAGGAATGGAACGGGACCGTACTCTCACAGAGAGGGTTGGTTGTGTCTTCAAATATTTCAGGCTGCAGTGGTCGGTGTAGACGGTTGTGTTTGGTCCTTCGAGAAAACATCTCCACGTTTTGAAGGCGATGATGATAGCAAGGGCCTCTTTGTTGTGTATCGGGTAGTTTAATTCGGCTCCGTGTAGTTTCTTGCTCAGGTAGGCGATTGGTTGCAGTCCATTCCCCTGGTCTTGCATCAAGACTGCTCCCACGGCTTGGTCGCTAGCGCCAGCTTCGATGACGTAGTCGTGTTCGGGGTCTGGCAAGATGAGTACGGGTGCGGACGTGAGTGCTTGTTTCAGCTGCTCCACGGCTTTCTGATATTGTGGTTCCCACTTATAGGGCGTGTTCTTCTTTAGCAGATTCGTGAGCGGTGTTGCGATTTTTGCGTACTGTGGCACGAACCTGTTGTAATAGTTAGCGAAGCCTAGGAACTGCTGCAACTCCTTCACATTCTCGGGTGTCTTCTACGTGCGTACGGCTTCGATTTTCTTGGGGTCGACGTGAACTCCTTGAGCGCTCACCATGTGTCCGAGGAATTGGACTTTCTCAAGGGCGAATTCGCTCTTGGATAATTTGACGTAGAACCGTTCTCATCGAAGAATGTCGAAGACGCGTCGCAGGGGTTGGATGTGCTGCTGCTTGTCACAAAGTAAATGAGGATGTCGTCCACGTACACCACCATGCATTCGTCCAAGAGTGGGCATAGGATGTGGTTCATCTCTGCTTGGAACGTTGCAGGTGCGTTGGTGAGTCCGAACGGCATTACCAGATACTCGTACGATCCGTACCGAGTTTGGAAGGCAGTTTAGTGAACAGAATCGTCTGTCATTCGTATCTGCCAGTATCCGGACAGCATATCTAGTTTTGAAAATACCTTGGCTCCCCGAAGCTGGTCAAGCAGGTCATCGATTCGTGGAATCGAGTACTTGTTCTTGATGGTCTGCTTCTTAAGAGCTCAGTAATCGATGCACATGCGCAGGCTTCCATCCGGTTTCGGTGTGAAGAGTACTGGGGCAACTTATGGCGTAGTGGATGGTCGGATGAGTCCTTTTGCGAGGAGGTGCTCTATCTACTTCTTCATGTCGGCTAGCTCTGTGGTGCTGAGCCGATATGGTGCTCGGAAGGTCGGCTTCGAACCAGGTTCCTCCACGATCTCGTGTTGGTGCGTTCGGTATGGCGGTAGCTCGTCCAGGAGGTCGTCGGGTATTTCTCTTTGAGGTTCCGAGGACTTGTCCTCGTCCCTTTCCACGTCTGTTGCTAATGCCAGGAACCCGGTGTTGGTTCGTTTCACGTCCTTCTCGAACCGGGCGAGTGTCTCCACTGGGATATCTCCCGTATCGTCCCAGTTGGGTAGCTGGACTCTCCTTCCTTTGTTGTAGATGCTTGCGGTGCGGTTTACCCAGTTGATCTCAGGGTTGAATTTTTGGAGGAAGTCTCGCCCGAAGATAAGGTCAAGCCCATTTATGTTGGTGATGGGGAGAGCAGGTTTCCAGCGTAGTGGCCCGATTTGTAGGTGTAGCACTGCTTCGCCGTACACTGGTAACTTGCTGTCGTCCCCCATCTTTGCAGAAAATGCTGATGGCTTGCGCTCTTCTCAAAGTTGGTCAATGGTTGCCTTGTTGCATACGGTGTGCGATGCTCCACTATCCACGAGTGCTTGGAGGCATCGTCCTTTGCAGATGACCTCGTGCACGAGGGGTAGGCGTTGCTCAGAGTACCCAAAAATTGTTTCATTGATTGGGTCATAGGGTACATCCCAATATTCGTTGCTTCCTACTCCTGAGCTGGCAGCTGGCCAAGGCTACTTGGAGAAAGGCTCTTCTCCAGGGCCCAGAGTTTTCGTGACGACTGTTCGTGTCGTTGACGAAGTTGCCGAGTTGGATGCATCCGAATGAGGAGTTCGGGGTTTTCGCAGCTTCCTGTAGACCCCCAGCTTCCTTTTGAGCTGCTTCAGCTCCACCGACGTCTTCCTTGGGGAATGGTAGTCGTTGTCGGCTGGTGTCGGGAGAGGACGTTGACTTCGTGGAAAGGTCGGCTTCTTTCCACACTCCTTAATTTTGTCCCCAAAATCTCCGATACAGGTATGATCTCCACAATTTTCTGCTTCTTCTGGAGTCCTTCCCGAAATTTCTCCAAGGCTCTAGCCCCTCGAGAATTACAAGTTTTCATTAAAGCATCTTGATAAGATAACTTTTATGAATCCTTATAATTTCTTGGGTCTTCAAGGAGTCTCCCCGTCTTGGCAGAGTCCTTTTTCATGGAGTTAGAGTCTTCCTTGGCGATTTTCTCTGGGAAAGACTGGTCCAGGGGTGGAGATTTTTCCCCATCATTATCTCCTGCTCGCGTCGAATCAGCTTCGTTGAAGTTGATTTTCCTGGAATCCCACGGCCGCTTTCGATTCTTTTCCTTTTCGCCAGCTAGATCCGCAATTACTGGCGAGTCCCGTTTTTTGTCTTCTGATTGGTCGAAGGATTTCCGCCACTGTTGTGTGCCCGATACTCAGCGCGTGTGGCTTTCATTTTGTTGCAGTTGAAGATTCGATGACCCGGCACCCCGCAAAAATCACACGTGAAGTTGGTGTTTTTTGGACGTGGCCGCCCTTCAAACCTGTCGACTTCCATCAGGTCGGCGAACGTGGTGTGAGCCGAGCGGTCGCTCTGTCGCGTACTGCCGACGTGCACCCGTTGTGTTCCAGCATTGACCATGTCAAAGCATTCCGCTGCTGATACGACGTCACTGTAGCTCGCATAGTTTGTCGCTGCTACTAGTCGTTTGACTGTACTTTTTCCCCTTCGGTCAGATCGGGAATTCGGTTATAAAAATCTTCCATCTGCTACGTACACTGTGCTACACTCCCTAATTGTCGATGGCGATGAATTTTTTCTCGGGCAAGGAAACCAGAATTTTTCCGCTCGAAACGTTTCAGCAGGTCGGTGCGGAACTGCTGCCACGTGGCTTTGTCGTGGATGAAGTTGCTGTTACCGCCGATCCACTCGAGTGCCGGCACTCGCATCAGTGTCACCGCGAGTCATTAGCGTTGACCGTCCCAGACTGGCGAGCTCCATCCAACGGCTGCAAAGTAGATCTCCATGCTGGCGATCCATCTGCGGACGTCGGAATTTCGATCGCTCGGATCGAACGGCTCAGGTGGGCGCGGTTTCGGAGCCACGAGAAACTGCGGCGTCTGCAGGGTCATCGCCGTTGTCATTTCGTGCTGCGCGCTGGCGAGTCGAGTTACTCGCTCGAACTTGTTTCGCCAAGCTTTGCGGTCGGCTCGCATCTCCTCCTGTAGGGCGGTGATGCTTGCGAAGAGCTGCTCGGTAACTTCGGCGTTGTCGAAGTTCGCCATCCTGTTCAAAACACGCGCGGAGGGGGTAATTCGAAAAGCGCGAAGCTGGTGCTTACCAGAATCGGCGTCGAATTGGTCGCCCCCGGCGTTTTTTTGAGGCAGGAGTCCCGCTGCTGCTTCTTAGCTGAGCGCGGCTGAGTGAGAAAAGCCCTGATTACCAATTGTGACAGGATCGAATGTGTCGAGGAAAGGTTCCACTATCGATTGATACAAGGCGCAATTATACTTCCAGAGTACATCAGGTAACCAGATTTATCCTATCCCAATGGAATAGACCCTTCTAGAAACTAGAATCACCCTGCGTATAGCCACGCGAGGCTATTGGCTTGAAGGGATTACGGCAGGATTACGCTAGATATAGGCGCCAGTACATCCCGAGCCTGGTCGGTGATATAATGATAGTAACAGGATAAACTAAAGGTTTATGGAGAAGGAGGAATAGAAATCCAAATGGAATGAGATAAAGACCAAATGAATCAGGATAAAAAGAGGAATGAAATGGAAAGGGAAGACGGAAAGGAGAAAGGAATGGAACGGGACCGTACGCTCACAGAGAGGGTTGGTTGTGTCTTCAAATATTTCAGGCTGCAGTGGTCGGTGTTGACGGTTGTGTTTTGTCATTCGAGATAACATCTCCACGTTTTGAAGGCGATGATGATAGCAAGGGCCTCTTTGTCGTGTATCGGGTAGTTTAATTCGGCTTCGTGTAGTTTCTTGCTGAGGTAGGCGATTGGTTGCAGTCCATTCCCCTGGTCTTGCATCAAGACTGCTCCCACGGCTTGGTCGCTAGCGCCAGCTTCGATGATGTAGTCGCGTTCGGGGTCTAGCAAGATGAGTACGGGTGCGGACGTCAGTGCTTGTTCAAGCTGCTCCACGGCTTCCTGATGTTGTGGTTCCCACTTATAGGGCGTGTTCTTCTTTAGCAGATTCATGAGCGGTGTTGCGATTTTCGCGTACTGTGGCACGAACCTGTTGTAATAGTTAGCAAAGTCTAGGAACTGCTGCAACTCCTTCACATTTTCGGGTGTCTTCCACGTGCGTACTGTTAGGATTAAGGATGGAGTCTAGGTGAACTTAGGAGCTAGAATTACTCAAAATATAAATCCGAAATTCTGGACAGAAAAGTCGTCTTCACAAGAAACGACGTCGACGAAAACATAGCCGTTGGAATGTCGTGAAAATCGGATATGTTGTAGCTTGTAATTCTAGATACCGTTCTCAATTCGAATCACGTCGATTAATGGAGTATTCGCGACGCTATGTCTTTTGACGCACTGGGGGGTAAGCTGTAGGAGGAGAAATCTCAGAAGTTCAATCAAAGTTCAAGAATCTCACAAGGAATTAGAGGAGCAAGAGAAAGGTTGGGATAGAAGAGAGGGATGAGAGGGAATGTCCTAAGAGAGTCCCCAACCAAGACAACCCCATAAGCACAAAGATTCCCCCCCTATAGGAACCCCAACTTTGACATTTGTCCCTTCCCAACCAATCCATTTAAGTTGGCCATCCTTGCCAACCTAGCTTGGTTGTTCCCAACCAATTTGCAGCTGTTACAGTAGAGTGACAAATTTCCCTAACCCCAAAGGTCCCAACTCCATATAGAGTCACCCCACAACTTCACTTTGTAACCGCCGCAATTGTAACGCAAGCTCATGAACTTTGAATCTTCATAGCTTTCGCGTTCTTGCTCCGATTGAAGGGATTCTTGTTGCGTCGGAAAGATCTTCTCAAGATCTATCATTGCAAATACCTGCTCATACAGAATAACACAAAACATATTCCCAAACTCCAGAACACACACCACATAAATTCTTTCACACACAGTCAAACCATACATGCGAATTGAAACAAGGGATGGGAGGCTGACAGAATGTGATAGCATATGATGACATCACACAACAATCTCCCCCTCTGGCTGCCAACCATCATCCACCATACCACATCTCAAGCATGCATACTCAATGCACACTCATCCCAGCAAGCTTCATGCCCTTCCAATGATCCGCCTCCGCCAGACGCTTAGTGAAAATATCTGCTGCCTGCTGATGGGTCTTCACTATCTCCAACCGCACCTCCTTATCAAGAAGTCTCCTCATCGAATGCCACTTAGGCCTTATGTGTTTTGTCAGCCCATGCAGACAAGCATTCGCAGCCAGCTTCACTGCAGACTCATTATCACAAAAGATCACCGTCGGCTCCTTCTGACCAACTCCCAACTCCTCCAACAAACGCCTCAGCCATACCACTTCCTTGGCCCCATGGTGTAAGGCCATGTACTCAGTCTCACATGAGAACAATCCCTTCTCATTCTGCTTCTTGCTGCGCCAGCTTACAGCACCACCTCCCAGCAAGCACGCATATCCCCTAATGCTGGTGCCATCCGCTTTCACTAAGTTGAAGCTAGCATCAGTACCTTGGGTTGAGGAATTGCAGCCCAATAGCACAATGCAATCTCATCTTCCTCAATCTGCTCAACCACACTCCCAGCCTGCACCACATTCGACTAGCCTCTTCCCCCATAGGTCAGCCTCACTGGAGGGCGCACATCCCTCCTAGGTCGCTCAGGCGGGTGTGGAACTCGAGGTGGGGACTCATGCTGCTGCTGCTGCTCCACCTCAGCTGCTCCCCCTTCCTCAATCACCCCAAACTTCTCCTCCTCAAACACTGCAACCTCCACCTGTCTTGAAGGCCGCTGCACCTCATCTGCCTCCACTATGAGCGGTGTAGATGGAAGGTTTTATTGCTGCTGCTTCCATTCCTTGTAGTACAGGGACTCAAGAAACTTCACATCCCTTGACACAGTCAGCTTCTGGATGGTCAAGTCCCACAGCAGCCACCCTTTGTGATCCTTTGCAATCCCCAAGTGCACACCCCATCTTCTAGAAGCCTCCAATTTCCCCCTTTTCTCCTTGGGCACATGAAACACCACCATGCACCCAAATGCCCTTCGCATGTTCACAGCTAGAGCACTCCCATACCACTTGACATATGGGATCCACTCCTTATCCCCAACTGTAGCCAGCACCTTGTTCTTCACAAGGGCGACCTGCCTCAGTGCAGACACCCAAAACGGATCAGGCAGCCCTGCACGCCTAAGGAGAGTGCGTGCCCTCTCCTGCAGGGTCCTGTTGAACCTCTCAGCCACGTCATTCTGCTGCGGGTTGTAGGGCACTGTCAGTTGATGTTGGATTCCCTTCCTCTTCAACTCCCCCTCAAAATCAGCTCCAATGAACTCCCCACCATTGTGACTGCGGATCACCTTCACCTTGTGTCCGCACTCCCTCTGAGCTCTAGGCATCCACTCCTTAAGGACAGCCGCTGCCACCTCCCCCTTGCTCTTCAAATGGTAAACCCACACTGCCCGAGTGTGGTCATCCACAATTGTCAAGAAATAGCGGCTGCCTGAGAGGGAAGGAGCTCTTGTGGGCCCCACCACATCCATGTGCACAAGTGCAAGTGGGGTCTTGGCTGGTCCTGTAGTGCTGTTGAAGGGGAACTTGGAGAACTTGGTCTCCAAGCATGTAGGGCAGCTCCCAATCTCCTTCACTCCCCCTTTCACCTCCAATCCTTTCAAGCTCCCATCCTTCACCAACTTCTGTAGCATAGTGAAGTTCACATGACACAACCTCTCATGCAATGTCTCCCAATTGGTCTCACCACTCCTTGATGAAGCCTTAGCCCATGCCGCACTTGCATCCACACTAGCAAGCACCTCACCATGTGCCTGCTGCTGCTGCACTTTCTTAACTGCTTCCATGACCCCATCAGTTGGTGCAGTTGCATCTCCTCCTACTGTTGCCTTTGCCGTTGCTGCTGTTGGAGTCTTCCCATTCCAAGGGATGATGGGCAGCTGCCATAGGTCCTTGATGCAGCTGGTCTCCTCTTCCAGACTCCACAACATTTTCTTCCCAAGCTTAGCACGGCAGCTGGTTGGTCCAACGGTCACTTCAGCCTTGCTCTTCTGCAGTCGCCGCACAGAGAGAAGGTTAGCAGACAAACCTTCAACCAGCAGAACATTCCCAAGCCCCACAAGTTCCCCATTAGCTCCCTTAACCTTGGCATTCCCAACACCAATGACAGGGAGCAAAGCACCTGACGCTGCTGCCACATACTTAATCTTTCCAGGGGGTTTTACCTCATCAAGCAAATCTGCCCTTGGGGTCATGTGACTGGTGCAACCTGAATCAATCACCCAGTGCGTGAGAGGGTGCATCACAACCTTTCCCACAGATCCCACATCACCCTCATGCCGATGCACATCCTCAACCATAAGAAACATCCCAGGATAGGCATTACCTTGTGCACCTTCACCTTGTGCACCTGAGCCTTGCACAGCGCCACCTTTTGCGCGTTCACCACTGGGCGGCTTCATGCCTGGAGGTGCCCATCCCTCCGGCCTGCTGAAGCACTTGAACCAAGGATGCCCGACCTTCTTGCAGTACCAGCAGGTGCCCTCCATTCTGGTACTCCCTCTACCACCAGAGCTCCCATGCCCCTCATTATAGTCACCTCGGCCTCTACCTCTGCCAAAGCTCCTCCCACGGCCTCGGCCTCTCCAACCCCCTCTTCCTCTGCCGCGCCCTGCAGCTCCATACCCCTCAGCAGTCTTGGTGGAAGCACCACCTCCCACATGGCGTCTGCGGAAGTCCTCCTGCAGAATCTGCTGCCTTAGCCACTCAGGTGTCCATTGATCTTGCTAAGAGTTGAGGGTTGGGATGAGGTTGTCCCAAGAGTTGTCCAACACCGAGATGATCTTGGTGCACTGCTGCAGCTGAGATACACTGCTGCCCACTGCTGCCATCCTTGCATAGGTGTCCTTGATCTTGTCAAGGACCGGCTTCACATCGTCCCCTGGTCGCATGGAGATGGCAGCAAGTTCCTTCTCGAGCACGATCACCATCGGGAGAGTGTTGGGCTGAATCACATCACGTAGTAGTTTCCACGCCCTTGGACCCAAATCATCCGCTTCCACAAGATCCTTGATGTGCTCGAACATCTTCTTGTTGACCGATTGAAGGATGAGGTCGAAAAGCACCGCGTTTTTCTCAATCCACCGTTCGCGTGCTTTGCCTTCCTCCGGCATCTTCTCCTCCCCAACAGCAATGTTCAGTAGCTTGTAGCGTTTGAAGGCACTCCTCATCCGCCCGCTCCATTCCTCATAGTTGGAGCCATCCAAAGCTTCAACTTTGGATGGTGGCGGCTCACTTGTCTTCTCAGGTACAGCTCCTCTTCTATTAGCATCTCCTCCTCTCTCATTCATCTTCTCCTTGAGAAATAACGAATTTCAGCTCCCCTTTGCTGTCCACACTCAGCTCCCTTGATATTTTCACAAGTGTCGGCGTCCACGTTTTTTCGGCAGAGTTTCCCCTTAGCGGAAGTCACATCCAACCTTTAGAACACCACTTAGGCACACCCACAGGCCATGGTGGGTCTAGAAGGGTCTTCACACTTCTGTAGACTCCTCTCAATGTCCTCAATATCGCTCTGATACCACTTGTTAGGATTAAGGACGGAGTCTAGGTGAACTTAGGAGCTAGAATTACTCAAAATATAAATCCGAAATTCTGGACAGAAAAGTCGTCTTCACAAGAAACGACGTCGACGAAAACGTAGCCGTTGGAATGTCGCGAAAATCGGATATGTTGTAGCTTGTAATTCTAGATACCGTTCTCAATTCGAATCACGTCGATTAATGGAGTATTCGCGACGCTATGTCTTTTGACGCACTGGGGGGTAAGCTGTAGGAGGAGAAATCTCAAAGTTCAATCAAAGTTCAAGAATCTCACAAGGAATTAGAGGAGCAAGAGAAAGGTTGGGATAGAAGAGAGGGATGAGAGGGAATGTCCTAAGAGAGTCCCCAATCAAGACAACCCCATAAGCACAAAGATTCCCCCCCTATAGGAACCCCAACTTTGACATTTGTTCCTTCCCAACCAATCCATTTAAGTTGGCCATCCTTGCCAACCTAGCTTGGTTGTTCCCAACCAATTTTCAGCTGTTACAGTAGAGTGACAAATTTCCCCAACCCCAAAGGTCCCAACTCCGTATAGAGTCACCCCACAACTTCACTTTGTAACCGCTGCAATTGTAAGGCAAGCTCATGAACTTTGAATCTTCATAGCTTTCGCGTTCTTGCTCCGATTGAAGTGATTCTTGTTGCGTCGGAAAGATCTTCTCAAGATCTATCGTCGCAAATACCTGCTCATACAGAATAACACAAAACACATTCCCAAACTCCAGAACACACACCACATAAATTCTTTCACACACAGTCAAACCATACATGCGAATTGAAACAAGGGATGGGAGGCTGACAGAATGTGATAGCATATGATGGCATCACACAACACGTACGGCTTCGATTTTCTCGGGGTCGACGTGAACTCCTTGAGCGATCACCATGTGTCCGAGGAATTGGACTTTCTCAAGGGCGAATTCGCTCTTGGATAATTTGACGTAGAACTGTTCTCATCGAAGAATGTCGAAGACGCGTCGCAGGTGTTGGATGTGCTGCTGCATGTCGTGCGAGTAAAAAAGGATGTCGTCCAGGTACACCACCACGCATTCGCCCAAGAGTGGTCGTAGTATGTGGTTCATTTCGGCTTAGAATGTTGACGGTGTGTTTGTGAGTCCGAACGGCATTACTAGATACTCGTACGACATGTACCGAGTTCGGAAGGCAGTTTTGTGGATGGAATTGTCCGCCATTCATGTCTGCCAGTTTCCGGACCGCAGATCCAGTTTGGAAAAAACCGTAGCTCCCCGAAGCTAGTGAAGCTGGTCATCGATTCGTGGAATCGGGTACTTGTTTTTTATGGTCTGCTTGTTGAGAGCTTGGTAATTGATGCACATGCACAGGCTTCCGTCCGGTTTCTGTGTGAAGAGTCCTGGGGCACCGTATGGCGAATTGGATGGTCGGATAAGTCTTTTGGCAAGGAGATACTCGATCTACTTCTTCATGTCGGCTAGCTCTGTAGGGCTGAGCCGATATGGTGCTTGGAAGGTCGGCTTCGAACCGGGTTCTTCTACGATCTCATGTTGGTGCGTTCCGTATGGCGGCAGCTCGTTCGGGAGGTCTTCGGGAAGAATGTCTTGGAACTCTTTCAGTAATTCCTTGATTTTTTCAGGAGGTTCCGAGGCTTTCTCTCCGTCATTCTCCACCTCTGTTACTATCGCCAGTAATCCGGTATCGGTTTGCTTGACATCCTTCTCGAATCTTGCGAGTGTATCCACTGGGATATCTCCTGTATCGTCCTACTTGGGTAGCTGGACTCTCCTTTCGTTGTTGTAGATGCTTGCTGTACGATTTACCCAATTGATCTCGGGGTTGAATCTTTTTAGGAAGTCTCGCCCGAAGATCAAGTCAAGCCCTTTTATGTTAGTGATGGGGAGTGCAGGTCTCCAGCGCAGTGGTCCGATTTGTAGGTGTAACACTGCTTCGCCATGCACTCGTAACTTGCTGCCGTCCACCATCGTTGCAGAGAATACTGAAGGCTTGTACTCTTCCCGAATTCGGTCGATTACTGCCTTGTCGCAGACGGTATGTGATGCTCCGCTGTCCACGAGTGCTTGGAGGCTTCGTCCTTAGAAGATGACCTCGAGCACGAGGGGCAAGCATTGCTCAGAGTACCCAAAGATAGTCTCATTGATTGGGTCATAGGGTACATCCCAATATTCCGTACACACCTTTTTATTGCTATCTACTCCTGAGCTGGCAGCTGGCCGAGGTTGCTTGGAGAAAGGTTCTTCTCTAGGGCCTGGAGTTTCCTTGATGACTCTGTGCGTTGTTGATGCCGAATTTGCTGAGCTGGATGCATCCGAAGGAGGAGTTCGGGGTTTTTGCAGCTTCTTGAAGACCACCAGCTTCCTCTTGAGCTGCTCAGCTCCACCGACGTCTTCCCTGGGGAACGGGTAGACCTTGTCGGCTGGTGTCGGGAGAGGACGTTGACCCTGTGGAAAGTTCGGCTTCTTTCCACACTCCTTAATTTTGTCCCCATGTTCTCCGGTATCGGTACGAATCTCCAAAATTTTCTGCTTCTTTTGGAGTCCCTCCCGAAATTTCTTCAAGGCTCTAGCCCTTCGAGAATCATAAGTTTTCATTCAAGCATCTTTATAAGATAACTTTAACGAATCCTCATAATTTCTTGGGTCTTCTCGAAGTTTCCCCGTCTCAGCAGAGTCCTTTTTCCCGGAGTCAGATTTTTTCTCGGCGATTTTCTCTGGCGAAGACTGGTCGTGGGGTGGAGATTTTTCCTCATCATTTCCTCCTGCTCGCGTCGAATCATCTTCGTTGAAGTTGATTTTCCCGGGATCCCGTGGCCGCTTCCGAATCTTTTCTTTTTCGCCAGCTAGATCCGCAATCAGTAGCGACTCCCGTACTTTTTTTTCTTTTGATTGGCTGAAGAATTCCCGCCACTGTTGCGTGCCCTATACTCTGCTCGTGCGGCTTTCATTTAGTTGCAGTCAAAGATTCGATGGCCTGGCACCCCGCAAAAATCACACGTGTAGTTGGTGTTTTTCAGACGTGACCGCCCGTCGAACCTGTCGATTTCCATCGGGTCGGCGAACGTGGGTTGAGCCGAGCGGTCGCCCTGTCGTGTACTGCCGACATGCGCCCGTCGTGTCCCGGAGTTCACCATGTCGAATCGCTCCGCTGCCGAAACGACGTCACTGTAGCTCGCGTAATTTGTCACTGCTACTTGTCGTTTGACTTCGGTCTTCAGCCCGTCGAGATACGACCGTACTTTTTCCCCTTCGGTCAGATGGGGAATGCGGTTATAAAATTCCTCCATCTGTTGCGTGTACTGTGCTACACTCCCGAACTGTCGATGGCGATGAATTTTTTCGGGGGCAAGGAAACCCGAATTTATCGGCTCGAAACGTTACAGCAGGTCGGTGCGGAATTGCTGCCATGTGGCTTCGCCGTGGATGAAAGTACTGTTGCCGCCGATCCACTCGAGTTCCAGCCCTTGCATTAGTGTCATCGCGACTCACACGCGCTGACCGTCCCAGACTGGCGAGCTCCATCCGACGGTTGCGAAGTAGATCTCCATTCCGGCGATACATCCGCGGGCGTCGGAGTTTCGATCGCTCCGTCAAACGGCTCAGGCAGGCACGGCTTCGGAGCCTCGAGAAACTGTTGCGACTGCTGCGTCGTCACCGTTGTCGTTTCGTGCTGCGCGCCAGCGAGTCGAGTTACTCGCTCGAACTTGTTTCGCCAAGCTTCGCGGTCGGCTCGCATCTCCTCCTGTAGGGCGGCGATGCTCACGAAGAGCTTTGGGTAACCTCGGCATTGTCCAAGTTTGCCATCCTTTTAAATACACACGCGGAGGGGTTAATTAATTAAAAAAAACACGAAGCTGGTGCTTGCCAGAATCAGCGCTGATTTAGTTGCCCCGGCGGTTTTTTGAGGCAGGTTTTCCTGCTGCTTCTGCTTAGCTCAGCGTGGCCGAGTGAGGAAAGCTCTGATTACCAAGTGTCACAGGATCGAATGTGTCAAGGAAAACTTGCACTATCGGTTGATACAAGGCGCTTTTATACTTCCAGAGTACATCAGGTATCCAGGTTTATCTTATCCACAGGGAATAGACCCTTCTAGAAATAGAATCACCCTGCGTATAGCCACGCGAGGCTATTGGCTTTAAGGGATTACCACAGGATTACGCTAGATATAGCGCGCCAGTACATCCCGAGCCTGGTCAGTGATATAAATCTAATAATAGGATAAATCAAAGGAAAAATAGGAAACCAAATGAGATGAGATAAAAAGAGAAATGAATTAAAAAGGAGCTAGGGCAATTGGTGTAACGAGGTCATACTCTCACACCTGATGAGCACGAAAAAAAGGTAAGGTGAGTCGTTTATAGAAAAGACAATCACGTGCTGGTACGATTTGACTCGTGCGAAGATCCATAATTTTCCACGCGTAAAATTGCTTCTCGATGCCAAGATGTATCCCCTACTTTGCCCGTTCTG